GCTAATTAAGGGTTTTAGGTTGTTTAATTTTTTCCAAAGTGCCTCCTGGATCCGAATAATTATAAGCGGTTTTCTTTCTCGTCCGTAAATGTGACAGTTTCCTACGATGTTTTGTCACGCGGTAACTACCGCTTACCTCGCTTTAGATTTCTGGTAACTGTCTCCAGCAAAGGCAAAACAAATGAATATACCTAAAAGCGTCAATATAACTATTCGCAACATGTTCATGAGTTGTAAGAAAGTTGCTATTTGGAAATAAACCGAAACCTGTGGACATTGATAAGTTCGGGGGCATTTTGACTTGTGTTTATGTTAAATCATGTCTTGTTTCAGGGGCACCCAACGAGAATATAGTTCAAAACCACTTAAACATAGCATTGTTGAACGTATTTTAGTATCTAAACGGTAGATATAGGAATATTTTTATCCCCTAAAAATTTTTTGTCTGTTCGGATTTCCTAGCTGAAAGTCTAGTGATCCGAAAATTATAGGGGTCAAAACTTACCTTTTTGAAAATTTCAGCCAGATAAAAGACTCCCGAAAATTCTAGGTGACTTTTTTAGGGTAAAAATCCGTTAAAAATGGGCAGTTATACAGTTTTTTAGATGTTCGAAACCCCTAGGAGAGGCGGGCAAGCAAGAAATTTTACAACAAATGTGCCGAAAATTCTAGATCTCAAATCGTCTTCCAAACAGATATTTTCCAAAAATTGACGTTGGGTGCCCCTATTGTTTCGTAACGGTCACCTAAGTTACGAACAAATGTCTTGCTGTTTATCACGTAAAATTAACACTTCAGAGAAAAATCAAAAATTAGTGATTCTGAAAATTAATTTCACACTTTCAAAAAGATCAGTAAAGTCAATAAATTAAAGCTCTTGTTATGTAGAGGGTGCCCGGCTTCTAGGCGTTAAAATAATAGAGTCTTTTCTGCGTAACGTCCTGCCTGTCTTAAATTTTTCAGCGACGAAACATTCTTGAAAGAAAATTGAAGCAATTGAGGTAAGGTAAGCGGTACTTATCGCGTGACAAAACATCGTAGGAAACCGTCACATTCACGGACGAGAAAGAAAACCGCCTATAATTATTCGGATCCGGGATTTTGGCATGAGGTAAAAGTCGTGTGTTGCCTACCGACTTCGTTTTTACACTTGAATGATTTTTTTTTCATTTAGTTTTTATTCATAGATTTATTTGAGAAGTAGAATTTAGCTTTTAATATGACGTTTTGTAACAATAATAAAATCGACACGATGATCCGCCAACTCTTAAGTCCAAGTCATTCCTATTTTTCTTTCGGGATCATTTGCGGTCGACTTTGGGGATCACTTGCGGTCGAGGATCATTTGCGGTCCATTTTGGGGATCATTTGCGGTTGGGGATCATTTGCAGTACTGTACAGAAGTCCTCGGTAAAACGAACGGAATTCTTCGCCCAAAAATATGAAGAAAATAAATTATGTTTATAGTGTTTATAGCGGAGCTTGCGCGAAGCGAAAGCAGCGGAGCCCCCACAGCTATTGAAAATTGAAACATATCAATTAGCGTCCAAGACAGGCGTTTTTAGGGGAGGCGTGTTTCATTTTGAGGATGGACGAAATACGAGCACCAAAAATCGCAGTACTGAACACCTTTTTTCTGCATGACGTTTGAAGTTAACTTTTTAGATGGTGCTAATGGGGTGAAGCTGCGGTCAGTATAAACCAGCTAAAAAACCACTTCTCAGCCGGTAACAAAAAAAAACGCAGGTATGTCAGTAGTCACGGCAACTCCGTCGCAAATAATGGGTTTAAACATTACGGCTAAAGGACAAAGTGAAAAATGACAAATTCAACCTTTTAAGTCCTAACTCGAAAATCAAGAAGAAAATCCCCGCTGGAAATTCTAACCAGAAGGTTAGTTCAACTCTCCGTGCCGTGGCCATAATTCACATCACACGCAAAACTCGTGGCATTCGGGCACTATTACTGGATAATGATGGGCTAGATGTATATTATCATCATCCAAGGAAAATTAGAACCAACTGGAACTATGATGGGAAAACAAAAGAGACGAAGGTTGTTTATTCGCATTTTGTCATAGCGTTACTGAACGAACGTGACTCATGACTAGTTCTTAATTATATTTGCCGCTCTTCCATTAGACAAGTCTGTTGTTGGATCTGCGCACTCAGAATCTGCCCTAAAGGACAGAAACTAATGTGAAAATTTAAGCCAGTGCAAAGGAATTTAAGATAGATTAAGGCTTTGTTCCCATTAATGGTGTACACAGAAAACAATAATTACAATTTGTCAATACAACAGACAATAGCTGCATAATTATTGACCCTAGGGTAGCTGTGCAACGCAGATGATGTCGCATTCCATAAACGTAACTTGAACGTCAGGATTAAGTTTCAATTTTCAATGTTTTCTGACTAATGTACACTTTTGACTGTATCATCTTGTACTATTAGATATCTGGTCGGAATTGGTTCCGTAGCCTTCTCTCTTCATAAGTTTAAGCTTATACAAGCGTTTACCCTGGCAAAATCCGGGCAAAACTACTGTTACGCTGGGAAAGCTGTGACGGAGCTTCTATGAACAAACACTCCAGACGCTTAGTCATGCGGTGAGTCGTATGCCTTATTTCTAATGAGGATTGGGAAGTTTTAAAAAGGCCTGATTTGTTGAAGCTCCATGTGATGCGCAGATATTCAAAATAGGCCAAAAAACTACAGTTTTTGACCGTCCACAAACTACTCATAAAAAAGTTGATGAATACTGCAAATTTAAATGGCGAAGTTTTAGGGCTGCGACTAGCGCTCAAGTAAACCCTTTCTGCTTTCATTAAATCGAGTTATGTGGAGATATTTAACGCTCCAACTTTTGAATATAAAGATGAAATCCTCTTTTATTATCGCACAAAAATCAAAACCCTTTAATGAACCTTCACAGAAGAGTTAAAAAAAGCCGTCTCATGGCGATCCGGCCGGATGAACGAACCAACCTCCGGTAACATTAGTACCCTAAGTTATTTGGAAGTGTTGATCCGAGGCTAAGAAAGATTCACAGTGGACCAAACATTTTATTTCAAACATTGACGAGCCAGGGCTTTATAGTACAGTGTGTGAACGTGTACATACTAATATAGCGGAAACGCTTCTTCGAAATGCTAGTGAAATGTTTGCATGTATGGCTGGTAAACTATGGCGTCTAATATTTTTTTTAGCTCAGATGTCGTAATATGTATGCACAAAGCAAGCTTAAAGGTGGGAACACAGAGCTAGACTTTCTCAAGCTTTCACGAACTATCTCACGCTTCCACGACTCGACAGCTAATTTCCCCTCACTCGCTAGAGATAGGTAGAGTTCTTAACGACATGCGACGACAAAGCTGAAATTGTACGCTATGTTTCCAGCATCAAATTTCACTTCCTTATCAGTGCCTATGTATTGTTTCTTGCAAATAGTCATAACCAAAGAACATGTACTACTAGCGTCGGAAACGAAGTTTTAAAGAACTTTTATCAAATAATAACGCGGAAACCATTATTTGTTGATGAAATGGAGGCATGTTTAGCTGGTATACTATGGCGTCTATTTAGCCGATGCCGTAATATCTTCACGTATGCACAAAACAAGCTTAGGCGCGTACACAGGGTTAGACTTACTCACGCTCTCACGTCTTGACGACTTATTTCTCACACTCAAAATCTTTTGGGCCATCTGTAGGGTTCGTAACGATATGCGACGGCAAAGCTGAAATAAAAATATTGTAAGCTATATTTCACTTCCTTAATATTGTTTAATATGTATTGTTGTAAAAACTCATGGCCTAACATTAAGGCTATGTACATGTGCTGTGAGGGACACAAACTAAGTTCTAAAGGTCTTTAAAGAAGATTTTAAAACGAGTGCTAATTTCTGAAATTGTATTTTATGTTCAGTTTAACGAAGGTGATTTAGATTCTTATGTACGTGATTTTCGGGCCAGTTCAAACAGTGATTAATTCGTTTAAACATGGGTTGCTAAATAAATAAGTGTCATTACCTTAAAGCAGAAACTCATAATCCCCCTTATGAGTTTCAGCTTAAAGCTAACACAATTCATTCGAATCAATCTAAAGTGTGTCTCATTTCTCAGAGGGGCATACTTAATTTTAGGACAAAGAGAATGCAGGTCATTATTACATGGCTAAGGTGATGTTGTGATGGCTTTAGCAAAGTAGCACGTTGAAAATAATTTTTGTAAAAACAGGAGCTGAGGCAAGCTACAAGTGGAATGAAGTCACGCATCCTGCAAAAAAAGCAATGGACTTCCAGCAGGACGCTTTAAGAGGTATAAATTTATAGCTGGTGATATAACCTAGGTTTCAGTGCCCCAATCGCCATTTAACCCTCGGAAGCACACGCAAATTCATACCCTACTCTGGTACAGGGGAGGGGGGTTCGATGGAACCCCTCCCCAGAGTTTTCAATATCTTGCAGTGTTTCGAAACGATTTTTCCTTCAGTGGAAAGCCTTTGATCTCATCATGAGGGTGAGGTACCGTAAATGATCTAATAAACGCCCGGGGCGTTTATTTAATGTTAGGGGTCCAAGAGGGGGCGTTTAATAGAGGGAGACGTTTAAAAGAGAGAGGCGTTTATTCTCGTAACTTTTTTTAACGAACTCAACATAACTTTACAGTATGCTTTCGGCTAAAAACGTTTTTGTGTTAACAGAATCTCGACTGCGGGCTGACGGCTTATCTAGAAATTGAACATGACATGATACACAAACTGATGTTAATCAAGCAATGAAATTAATAAATTGTTTGATTTTGCTCTATTTCGCCATTTCCTAGTATTTGGGGGCAATTTTCAAGGGGAGCGTTTATTAGAGAGGGGGCGTTTAATACTAACTTAACAGCGTAAGGGGGGCGTTTATTAGATAAGAGGCGTTTATTTGAGAGTGGGCGTTTATTAGATCGTTTACGGTGTTACTTTGTGGGTGGTGGCGCTGATGGAGGCTTGTGACGTCATCAACAATGGTCGCCATCTTGGTCGCCATTATCGTTGCCATCTTGGATTATACCAAGAATTAGGAATCAGGTTGAAATTACGATAAATTGTATTTTTCTTTTTAGTGCTTGACATGTAGAATAACACATAAATAAGCACTTTGTGTCATTTCATCGACAATTTTTACTTTTATTGCTGAAAAACATTTGGAAAAAAACATGCATTTCACTCAAAAATAGCCTGGTCCAGGCTCCGAGATGGTAGGTAGGTACGTGGTGTAAAACAACTGCTACTTATGACGTCATATCTCGTAACCATAGAAACTGGCCATCACTAAACTAACTACTAGTTAGAAAAACGAACAGCTACTGCAAACGTGAGGTGCTGATGTTTTATCCTCTACGAAAAAAGAAACACAGAGGGCACGGGGGGTGGTAACTACCCACTGCCCCCCCCCCCCTGCCTCCCTGCCCTGAACATAAACTAAGCGTTTATTTAGTCGACCCATTATTATTCCTCTAAGCACGTTTTTGCAGCAAAAAGTTAACACGTTGGTCAAAGAGTTGAAGCATGGGGGTGAAAGAAATTGCGGTCAAAACGTATTGTTTTCCCTGTCTTCTTGTTCCTCGCACGTGTGCGGTATCTAATTAAACCAATTCGTGAAATCGTCCTATTTTCAAACTAGAGCCACAGTGGTATGTGGGAATAGGGGATGTGGGATCCCGGATCTAGGATCATTTGGGTGAGATCAGGGATCACTGTGGCGGGATCAGGATCAGGTTGTAAATTTGGGATTTGGTATCACTTCCACAACTGGAGGGCTAAATATAAACAGTAAGTGTATTTAACGTCACGGGGCTACAGTTCTGAATACTGCTAAGTGATACTTGAGATAATGGCCGTTTTATGGCATCTCCTTTATCACAATTTAAGAGAATTTTGGGAAATCAGATCACAGCAATGGGGACATTACTGATCCCACTTACTCCGTTACGACCCTGTCGGTCAGAAGCCAGTCAAAAAATATGAACACTGCTAGGACAACAAAACTTGTCCTTTTAACGGGCTGGTGTCATCCTAAGCCGCTTTAAAACTTGGAATGATTGATACATTTAATAGGCCATTTTTAAGTTTCCTTAAGCCTCTGCTTCAAAGAGAGGCGAAGTGCGAAGCCATTATTGTGGAAATGATTTTTTTTATTCACATGCAAATAAAGCTCATTTTCGCAACAAAGTGAAAGTGTTTGGAACTCGGGAATGGCTTGTAGAGAAAGATGTTTTTTCAGTCCCTGACACAGGTGGCTTGGAAGAAAAAATCTGAGTACTCCCTTTAACAGTGGAACAGAAGCATATAACCCGAAGCGTATAACTTTGTCTCAATGCTCGGGTTTTTTAGGGAACCAATCAAAATTTACTTCCTAAAATGGAATTACTGATAAACGAGATTGTCGTGCGAGTGCTCTATAGGAAAACTTGTATCACGATGTAAATGATGCGGTGCAAAAAGCATTTACTGTTTTACGAGGTAATATTTGACAAAAAAGCGGAATACAGTATTAATCCCCAAATGACCAAGACTTAGTTAGTTCCTCCTAACAAGACAAAGTCGACTACCAATAACATGCACCGTATTAAAAAGAGAAGCGATTTCTTAAAGTTGTTACTTCAACTGACGATTTTTGCGTAACCATTAGGGCAAATAACCTTTAAAAAAATCAGTTACTATCTATCCAGAATATATATTTAAAATAGTAACACATATTTTAAAAAAAAATTCACTAGTTGCTGAACTGAAAAGTATAAATTGTATAAAATTCCCTGGCATCTTCGCAGAAGTGATTCTAGTAATAAGACACTGAATGAGAAGGATGAAACGCAAGTTATAAAGACTTAGACGCGGCGATCATGTTTTCAACTAATGTTTTGAATGGAAAACAGAAAACAATAAACAGACAAATTGTTTCTTGAAAATTTTTATGCGAAAACCCATAAGTTTACCGTTAAAAGCAATTCACGTAACACTGACTGGATCGTCAGGATCCGTTTCCACAAGTAAAATCGGCTGAGCACATGGCAAAAACACTAAAATTATCCGTCTTAAATCGGGCGCATTTCCCAATTTTTTTTTGAAAACTCTATCAAAAATATATAAAACGTCTATGAAACATTTCTAAACACATAAATTTCCTTTCATCATCGTACTTTCCTTGAGCATAATGTGTAAAATGTAAGTTTACCTGAAAAATCTGTAAAACGGTTGCTGACTTGGTCGCAGTGCAGAAAACTTGACAAGCACTCCTCCGTGAAAGAAACAAGGTCGAAGTCCTCGAAGGTAAATTTCGCAGCTTAAGACTTTTCTTTGTCCCCAACAAGAAAAAAAACTTTTACATGTCACACGTCTAATCAAAACTGCCATACATGTGTTCGCTTGCTGTTCTGAATGAATCAAAAAAATCTACACTCACAAAAAAAAAGTTCCGTTCCGACTTCGTCGGCGTCTTGTACAACGTTTCTGCAAAGCTTGCCATATCATTTTGTTTGTAGTCACCATGCTGGTTTTACTGAATGAGAGCAGAAGTTGCAGATAACTGGTTTGGTGTGGTAGACAGGTTTGCAGCTATTAGCCTGAGGATGATCTTTGTCGGTCAAAGGGGCTGCAAACGCATTTTGCGATATCGTGAAAAAATGTAAACATCCTTGTCTTATTTCGTCGCTGGTCGATGTTTTCAAGCCATACCGCTTACAACTTTGTGGCTCTTTATGTTTTCCCCAGGGTTGCATTTTATATCAGCATAATTACTTTATCTTTTATGCCACAAAACGATTTCTTTCGGTTGTAGACATACATGTACAAGCGTTGCAAGCTCAAAGCTTGAATTCTCTGATTCCATATTTGGGCAAAATATTTTTCCGTATTTCTGATTGGACGGCTGCGTCGGCTAAAAAACCCGAGCATGGTTATAAACAGATAAGGGGAATTTAGACGCTTCGGGGTTACATGCTTCTGCAGTGGAACGTCTGACCTTCTGGTTCCAGTTGTTCGAAAGTTGGATAGCACTATCCACCGGATAAATCACTATCCAACGGATAAGTGTTAGGAAAGCGCTATCCATTGGTTTTATCCGGTGGATAGAGCTATCCACCTTTTGAAAAACTGAGGCCTAGTCCAGATGCTCTTGACTGACCTACAGGAGACTCATGGGAGTCACTATTCATTTGCTGGAACTTGCATATATCACTCGAACTCTCCAGCACACAAACGTTTAGACTACCGTTAAGTGTCATAGAGTGTGCGAGGGGAACGTGTGTGAAATTTCTCCCTTCTCTGCATGCTGGCAGCTGGTTTTGGTTGATCCTGAGAAAACAGACGACATTTCGCGATGCCACCAACGCCACCCGCGAAATGACGTCTGAGAAAGGGCACAGAGATTTCATACTGATGACGTGTCACTACCCAGGTCTGGGTAGTGCTTCTGATTGGTCAAGGCAAATTTCACACGCGGCACGACCAATCAGAAGCAATACCCAGATCTGGGTAGTGATGCGTCATTAACATGGAATTTCTGTACCAGTTTCTCTGACGTCATTTCGCGGGCAAATCGTTGGTGGCGTCGCGAAATGTCGTCTGTTTTCTCAAGATCAACCAAAACCAGCTGCCACGTCAAGATTCGTAGGTTGGATCAACACCTGTTTTTGACCCAACCGGGATCAATTAAATAGAGCACTTAAAATAAGCCAAATTTTTATAAATGTAGTCTGGTGAAATTTCCAGTCTATTATACTTTTTTACCAAACGTTTGTTGTGTAGTTGCTTTCTCTGTGAAAAGTAGTATTCTCCCGATTAAAGTTGTTTCTTTTGAGATATTTATCCCGTTTATCTTCTCTTGCCTCATATAACCACAACGACAATTTTACGAAGGGGATTGGTTTCTAAAGTAATTTGGCTTTGAATTGGTGGAGGAGTGTAACACAAAACTTGGCTTTATCAAATGGGTTCGTAAAAAATTAGCCATTGGACAGAGTAAGGAGAAGCCGCCCATTAGAGCAGTAAAATTTTAATACGATTTAATTAGGCATTGTGAGACATACTCAGGAGCATTGTTTTCGTTGTAGAAAAAGCAGAGGATTTCAATAATGCTGGCAATGATGCATACAGAAAGAAAGATTTTGCCAAAGCCATTTTCTTTTACACGGAAGGAATCAAAGTTGAATGCAAGGATAAAGAATTTGTTTCCAAGCTGTACAACAACAGATCGACAGTATACTTCTATCAAGGTAAGTTTTTAAGGATAAACAATACACTGGTAGATCATGCACTCTCATTTTTTTTTACAAGCAAGACATTCTCGCTGAAAGAAAGCTCGGGTTGCCTCTTTCTTTTTGATCTCCGTAAAAGATATAATCAAGCAATATTTCGGTGCGTAAATTGTTTTTCTTACCTTTTCCTAAAAAGAAAATGAAGAGATGTTACGAATTCTGGGTTTTCAAAACGAGAAGTCTTCAATTACGCCCGCCCACGACTTAGTGATGCAGACGAGGAAAAATTTAATAAGCGCCGCTGTGGGGAGTTTTAAAAATACGGTAAAGGTAATGAAAGTGTTGTGTTGGATTTGAAGACAGCCTGGCCGAATGCTGTGTTTAAATATACGCTGGCTATCCGTTTAGCAATTTAACGTGAATTAATAGATTTTATGTGCATAAATGTGTATGGTAACTCTACGCTTTCTAAGTATTATTCTTTATAATATCGGTATAAAAAAACTCAATCTTTTTCAGGGAATTACCAGGATTGTCTAAGTGACGTAAAAGCTGCAACAACACTAAAAGCGTCTTATCTCAAGGCCATTATTCGAGGTAAAAATAAAAAGAAATTTGAAAATCTGAAACTTAATCTTAATTTGGCATTTTTCTCGCTAAGCGAGCGGCCGAAGGCCCCGAGTGAAGCGAATTTATAATCTCGTCGCGCGCGAAGCGCGCGTTTATCACGTGAACCACGCGTCGTCTTAACCAGATGCAAAATTCGATGCGCCATAAATCTGTGAATATATGCTTGGTGTCCGCCAAAGACGTCATGGAGCATTTTGCGTTTCCAGGCAACATAGACTTTTCCACAAATGACCGGCGCATTTTTATGTATTATTCATGAATGGCTCATGTGTTTTATAATATTCATCTATGAAACAATGTTTACAATCGGTGAATCACGAGCAATTTCCCATTCAGATGACACAGAACAACAAGCACAACCCGTGGCTAGAAATCCCCGATTTTTAACCGAAACTCCTCTGGAGAACGCCGACTAAAATTCGTCGTGAGCAGAGAAGACGACGACGACAAGAAGCCGCGTGCAAAGCGCAGAGAACATCGCTTAGCACAGACCCAAACCAGCAGATTTTCCCTCAACAGAAAACAAAGAAGTCTTTTGCTTTACGTCATCTTTGTCCAGTACACGAAGTTTTGAGTGGAATTGGGAACCATTAATATCTGGACAAATTGTGAATTCATTTGGTCAGGAAAAGTGTACATTTGACTATCTGGGACTTTTAAAAACTATTCCTGTGACAACCATGTCTCAACAAGCTCATGCATGTTAAGAACTGAGAAACTGACGAACTTCAACATGAACTTGTATGTGGACGTACAATACAAATTCCACTCTTGCATGGATATTTGTTTCTCATGCATGTATTCAAATAAATGTGAACACTTTCATAAATGATTTGGTACTCTTTACAGGGATAATTCAGTGCTAATGAGGGTACCGCGTATTCAGTAATCATCATAATCAAAATTCTCCTCAACTGCATCCTTAATGACATTGCTACATGTAATTTCTATTTCAGTGTAAGTCAGTGATTATGTTTGCACCTTACTGTTAAAACAATTAGTTGTCAAGTGTGATTATCATACATGCCAACCCTCCCGGATACGACAACGATCTCCTCCCACACGGGTCACCAAATCTCCCGGATAAAATCGAGTTATGAGCTTTTCTGTGCTTTAATTTGAAATTTATCCCATTTTTTTTCCCAAAATTCGAATTTCTTTTGATTCAAAGTTCAGTTTCTGGGGCATCTCGCATGTATATCATCACTGACAAAGATTATTTCCTATTACAATCATAAAAGCTATTGTGATGGTTCTGTACCTCATGTAAGACTCCATATAATGTCCTAAGCTGATAAGGGACTGGGTCGAACTGTGCTTATGGGGGAGGGCGGAGAGGGTAATGCAAAGGAAAGTGTGTCTAGATTTTAGATTTCCCAGAGGTTGGCATCAGTCTGGATTATGTACCACAACAATAGTGCAAACACCCTCATTGCTGTAGTTCACTTAAGGTATTTGCACAGGCAAATTCTCAACATTTTATTTTGCACTCAAAATCTTTCTACAGTAAGTTCAGATGATGTAATATGCATATCTGGTGTTCTTTTTTGAATATACCTTCGCATTAAAGAGAAAATCTACTCAAAAGTTGACTGATTTACCGGAAGTTAAAGAAAAATTGTCATTTCCGTTACTAAGAAAATGGACGGCAGGAGCGCAATTTGACCCCTCTTTCCAGCATCAAGTTCTATTGATGCGCTGAACAAAATCTATTCACTGCTTAGATTCATTGACAAACTACAGCCGCTGTATGTGCAACTTGATTTTTCTTCCTTCTGTTAAAGCTGTGATGACTAATATTACTTGCTTCTTGTCAAAATTCGTTATGTTCTTGAAATATACTCCGTTTTCCAGGGCTTAATATTGTTTTAAATTTACATTACATCGGTGTGTCTTCTCACCTGATATATTCTGACAATTTTGCCGGGAGAGTAAAACGTTTTCTTGGCCCCTAATCCTCTGGTCTGTTTTTCTGCCAATTTCTTTCACTTTACAGAAGCAATTCTTTTCAATTTTGAATAAAACTCTTCTTCAATCTTCATACTTCGGCGCGCTTCACTGCATTATAGCTGACACTGAGTAACGCATCTTCCAGAAATGCGTCACACCTAGCAACTGGTCACGTATCAAAATCCAAGGGGGCTATAGAGAGGTCATTTGGCATTTTCTTAGGCTTCCACGAGCATTTTACACAGCGGTGATTCAAAATGGCGGGCAAGAAGGTCTGTGATGGTAGTATCGAGGAAAAACAGTTGATTTTGAGAAGAAAATAAGCTTTTTCACACTGGAAAAGCGTTAATTACCGCGTGACCGATTTACCTTGACTTACGGGAACCAGTTTTTTGGAGGAATGGATCATTATTTCTTTGTGAAATTTGGCAAATACACAAAGAGCATGTTAATGAACAGATCTGTGTTTGACTAAAGGTTAGAATTGCCGTACAGCTGAGTTATTGATGTCAAAATATGGGTCAAATTACAAAATAGCAAATTGTGCCCTAAAGGCTGGATTAATTGGAGCTGTGTCGTAGTCAAACACAGAATTATTCTATCTTACGTCCTTATTTGTGTTACATTTCTTTTTTAACAATACCTCTAAGGATTCTTCTGAAATTTTGATTTTTCTCTTTCCGTGCCACCCTAGGGGGTAATTAAATTAACACCTTTTGGGTGACATAACATAGTTTATTTTGATATATTCTAGTTCCTCAAGAACTGAGGAATACTGTCAATGTAGTGACATACAGATATTATCCATAAAACAACCACTAAAAATGATGCAAAAATGTGCAAAATTTGCCTGTGCAGATACCTTAACAATAAATATTTTACGTCAATTGCCAGCATTTACTTGTTATTTTCAATGCACTACTAATGACATACTTCACAAGTAATTATGATTACACTTATTATTAAAGACAACATTGGTTAGCTGCATATTCACCTCTCTTTCATGCAGTTATTTACTATCACACCCATTTTCTTTTGACTATTTTTTACACATGTAGGAGGGTTAAATGCGCGGTGAACACGGGACCTATGAAACATTGGCTACCCTTCTTAACAACACCAACCCCATTAAAATCCCAGAACATCCTTTTTAACGACAGAGCACTGGGTTCAAATTTACTCCAACCAAAAGGAGATTAAGTACATCTCACATTCCAATATTAGAGCCAGTGTTGAAACCCGCCCTCGTAAGCTACACAAATTACTCCGATTCTCTCCTCCCTTCCATCCCTGACATTTTATGGGCATCCCCCCACCCCGAGCTTCGCGAGTTCCTGCGATACACGTATTTCTAGTAAATGAGTCTAACTATTTTCACTAGGGGCGAAAGCCTGTGCAAAGTTGAAGCAGTTTGAAGAAGCCATCATTTGGTGTGATAAAGGACTAGCTGTATCCTTTCTTAGTAGAATACAAATTTCACAGTACAGTTATTACTTCCTTGACTTCTAACAGGACACTACAATCTTATCTAAATGAGTTTTAATAAGTAAAGTCGGTTTAAATAAGTTACCTGTTGGTAAAGGGTTTTAGTAGCTTAAACAAACTGCTGTCGTTCATATGTACAATAAGGATTATCAATTATACAATGCAGTCGATACTCCAACTAATGCTGCTATTGTCAGAACTACGACCTCTGCCGCCATTTAGGTTCTAGGCTTAGAACACAGATTATTTAAAACATCTTTACACTTGTAAGATTGATCCAGACAAGCAGGATCTCTTAGAGATAAAGAGTCGCTCTAACAAAGAACGCGAAACGCTTCCAACTCTTGGAGGAGACAAAGCAGAAAGAGCAGAGGGCGGTTCACGACCCCACCCAAAACCTCTTGATTGCACATGTAAGTAAAACTCAAACAGAAATCATAACTTTTATCCATGTTTACATCAAGTAGATCAACTCTTCGTTCAGGGAACGTGGTCTTTCTTATTTATTTGGCCTTTGCTCATTCACTTACGCGAAGAACACAAATTTAGTTTGATTATTATTTCAGCCATAGCAGAGACCCGAAAAAAGGCTGGCAATGATGCATTTCATAAAGATGATTTTAACAAGGCTATCAACCTGTACACCGAGGGAATTGAAGTAAAATGCAGGGATGAGGATCTGAATGCCAAATTGTACAATAACAGGGCGACGGCCCACTATCGCTTGGGTAAGTATCATTCATATCAACTTTACGCATCTTCATAATAATAATTAACAACTTAATCACTTATATTGCGCAGGTATTCATAAAAATGATCAAATGCGCATTACATTAGTATTATTACTAATGTAATGAAAAGCATGAAAAAAACTACAAACCTATTTACAATAAGCAAACCAATAAAAATATATATATATATATATATATATATATATATATATATATATATATATATATCCGCCATAAAAATATAAAATATCTATATGCGACAAAACTCTTTCAAACATAAGCAAACTTAAAAAGGTACGTTTTACGATTGCTCTTAAAAGTATGCAAGGTTGGAATATCGCGAAGCTCACGCGGTAGAGCATTCCATAACTTGGGCGAAGTCACCTGGAAAGACCTATTGCCTAGTGTGACCTTAATTCTAAATGTTGATGATGTCAGCATCTTCAACAACGCATTCTATTTCGTATCCACTATTCTGTGGTCTTTTCTACATGTATCCCTGCCTTTTTAGGCAATGACGCGTCTTGAATCTCAATTCCACTGTCTCCATTGATTTTTGTAGCGTGTAGTCTTATTTTGATATCCTCTTTTATCCTACCATAGTACTGGTCAGTGAGGCTCTCGGTCGATAAACGTAAGATAAAGCCGATGGTGCGCGGTCTTATTTGCATGTTTTGAAATGGATAACGTCTGCGAGTTTGTGAACCCCGTGACGCCTGGAACAGGCTACGCTCGCAAAAAATCTCAATAACTACAGTAATAGCCCGCGTATGAGAACCTGGGTTTTAAGAACCTGTTAGGCTAAAATTTTCATTTTAAGCCCCCTCCACATAAGAACCTATTTAGGCTAAAATTTTAAGTTAGGATCTTATTAGTGGGGTTGCAGTAAAAGTTTATAGGTAGAAACTGCTGAATTAAGATCATCATCTAGGACATATGCTGTACCTGCACTGAACTGCCTATATAGGCATTGCTCTATGGTACAAATAAATGATTTACACTGTACTATCAGATGATATTTATAATATATATAGTATATTCAGATAAAATTCATATGAAAATATAAGAACCTATTTTAAGAACCTCGGTAGCCTAAATTTGCTTTAAGTACCATTTATATAAGAACTTATTTAGGCTAAATTGAAAAATTCAGGTTCTTATACGCGGCTATTACTGTACTCAATCTTGTTTTCGTGGGTCAATATTTAATCCTCAGAGAGCAAAAAAAATAGTGATGTATAGCGCAAGTAATGTGTTGGATTTGAAGACGGCCCGACCTTATGCTACCTTTCAGGCACTACTCCTCAACTAAGCGACGCGTGGAAACAAAGAGTAAATGTTAAGCGCACGTCTTTTTCGAGTAAATAAGGTGTGCCGTAATTCTTTTTTTAACCTACTTTTTATTGAACGTAGTTCTTCTTTTTTCAGGGCATTATCACGATTGTCTTGGTGACGTAAAAGCTGCGACAGCATTACACCCCTCTAACCTGAAGGCAATTATCAGAGGTGAAAATGAAAGAAATTTGAAAAACTGAAACTTTATCTATATTTTATCATTTTAAATATAAAACGACTTTTTTTACCAGGAGCGAACGCCTGTGTAAAGTTGAAGCAATTTGAAGAAGCCATCATCTGGTGTGATAAGGGACTAGCCGTATCCTTTCTTAGAAGAATACAAATTTCACAGTACAATTATTACTTTCTTTTACTTTTGATAGGACACTACAATGAGCTTCTTTTTCAGCTTTCAGTAAGCAAGATTAAATCAGTTAAGTCGATTTCAATATTTTAAAAGTAAACTGCTGGTAAAGCGTTTTAGCGGCTTACACAAAGAACAGTCGTTTATATCTCTTATATCTTTTTAAAAACGAGCCAAATGAAATTTACCGCAATTTGATTGAAAAAGGGTCAAAAGACGGTTTTTTTTTTGCGCCCAATAAGATCAAAAATCACACTTGCGAAAAAAAGGAGAAGAGAAATAGAAATAGCGAGGGAGGGAGAAAAGAGGAGAAGAGAAAAAGCAATGGTTCCCTCTTAGTTTTACATTGTCTACTTTCGGAGTTTTTGGCCAAATATACTGCTTGAAGGACGAGTTCTATTTGGCGTTAGCGTTTTCAGAAAACTAGCTGTAGGTTAACAAAAAGGATTATCCACTAAAAAACAGCTGCTACTTCAAATAATGCAGTGCTACTGCCATAACTACGGTCTAGGTTTAGAACACAGATTATTTTAAATACCTTAACTCTAGCAAGATTGAGCCAGACAATCAGGATCTTTTAGAAATAAAGACTTGCTCTTACGGAGAACGCCAGAAGCTTCCAACACAGGAAGGTGGCCAAACAGCAAAAGCAGAGGGAGATTCACGAACCAACCCAAAACCTCTTGATTGCAGATGTATGTAAACCCAAATAGAAAGCATTACCATTACCCAGGTCTTTACATTATAAGGTGGATCAACACCTCGTCAAGCAGCATGGCTTTTTCCTCTGCCAATTAATTAATCAAGGAATAAACAATCCCAATAGAAACTGAATTGAAAGAGCGCAAATTCACAGCAGGCTCGCGTTAAGGCAGCAGTTGTAAGCGTAAGCAACTGCGCGAGAGCCTTAACTTGTTTTTAAACAGGTTGTACATGTTTAAAGTTAATTTGTTCGTCCATGGAGCTGGACGGCGGCTCGATCAAAGAAGCAGTGCAGACGGATACTCGCAGTGGTTTCTCTCCCTTTCTAGTCCTGCCTGGAGAAACCACTGCTCGCAGTGTAATCATTCAGTTACAGGCAGAACACAAAACTCAGTTTTGTATTAATTTTATATTTCAGCAATAGCAAAGAACCGCAAAAGTGTCGGCAATGATGCTTTTCTTAAAGGTGATTTTGTCAAGGCTATAAACTTCTACACGGAGGGAATTGAGGTGAAATGCCAGGATGAGGATCTGAATGCCAAATTGCACAACAACAGGGCGTCAGCCCATTATCACTTGGGTAAAGTATCATTCAGGTTTATATCATGCATCGTCAGCATTGCATTTTCTACCGTTTCCATAACAGAACTCGAGGATAATGGTCCCATGATTCTCTTTTGTTATCCAGCATTCTGTTGTCTGTTCTGCGTCGAGACTTTTTACATACTGACGCGCAATATTTGCGCTAAATACCCTCGTCTTAAAGAGGATAGTGCTCGGTCTTATTTGCGTGTTCGGGAACGGCTGAGGTATGAGCTCCTGAAAGCTGTCTGTCCCGAGACTAGCCTATCAAACCCTAAATTAATGCTGATCTTTCAGAATGCAGCCTGCTTGCCTGAGCGTCCCCAGCCCTTCCGTCCAGAGTCTCCCCTTCCCCTTCCTCAGAGTCTGCACGTATTGATGTACGTTCACGTGTCGACCAAAATTTCTAGCACCAGTTCTTCTTTTTCAGGGAATTATCATGATTGTCTTGGTGACATAAAAGCTGCGACAGCACAACAACCGTCTTACGTGAAGGCAATTATCAGAGGTGAAAATGAATGAAATTTGAAAATCTGAAAGTTCATCTATATTTTATCATTTTAAATGTAACAACGACTTTTTTACTAGGAGCGAACGCCTGTGTAAAGTTGAAGCAATTTGAAGAAGCCATCATCTGGTGTGATAAGGGACTAGCCGTATCCTTTCTTAGAAGAATACGAATTTCACAGTACAATTATTACTTTCTTTACTTTTGATAGGGCACTACAATGATCTTCTTTTTCAACTTTTTGTAAGTAAGATTAAATCAGTAAAGTCGATTTAAATAAGTAAACTGTGGGTAAGGCGTTTTTAAATTAGCGGCTTACACAAAGAACAGTCGTTTATATGTCTTTTATCTTTTAAAAACGAGCCAAATGAAATTTGCCGCAATTTGATTGAAAAAGGGCCAAAAGACAGGTTTTTCCGCCCGATAAGCTCGAAATCACACTAGCGAAAAAAAGGAGAAGAGAAATAGAAAGAGCGAGAAGGGAGAAAAGAGGAGAAAAGAAAAAAGCAATGGTTCGTTGCACTCTTAGTTTTACATTGTCTACTTTTGGAGTTTTTGGCCAAAAAACTGCTTGAAGGACGACTGAGTTCTATTTGGCGTTAGCGTTTTCAAAAATCCAACTGTTGGTTAACAACACAAAAAGGATTACCCATTTAAAAAAACAGCTGCTTCTTCTAATAATGCTGCTACTGTCATAACTAAGTTCTAGGTTTAGAACACAGATTATTTTAAATACCTTTACTCTAGCAAGATTGAGCCAGACAATCAGGATCTTTTAGAAATAAAGACTTGCTCTTACGGAGAACGCCAGAAGCTTCCAACACAGGAAGGTGGCCAAACAGCAAAAGCAGAGGGAGATTCACGAACCAACCCAAAACCTCTTGATTGCACATGTATGTAAACCCAAATAGAAAGCATGACCATTACCCAGGTCTTTACATAATAAGGTGGATCAACACCTCGTCAAGGAACATGGCTTTTTCCTCTGCCAATTAATTAATCAAGGAATAAACAATCCCAACAAAAACTGAATTGTTAGAGCGCAAATTGTAGCAGGCTCGCGTTAAGGCAGCAGTTTAGCGTAAGCAACTGCGAGAGCCTTAACTTGTTTTTTAAACAGGTTGTACATGTTTAAAGTTAATTTATTTTGTCCATGGAGCTTGACGGCGGCTCGATCAAAGAAGCAGTGCAGACGGATACTCGCAGTGGTTTCTCTCCCTTTCTAGCGTAGCGTCCGGCCTGGAGAAACCACTGCTCGCAGTTTTCAGGCAGAACACAAACTCAGTCTTGTATTAATTTTATATTTCAGCAATAGCGGAGACCCGCAAAAAGTGCCGGCAATGACGCTTTTCTTAAAGGTGATTTTGTCAAGGCTATAAACTTCTACACAGGGAATTGAGGTGAAATGCCAGGATGAGGATCTGAATGCCAAATTGCACAACAACAGGGCGTCAGCCCATTATCACTTGGGTAAAGTATAATTCAGGTTTATATCATGCATCGTCAGCATTGCATTTTCTATCGTTTCACAACAGAACTCGAGGATTCTCTTTTGTTATCCAGCATTCTGTTGTCTGTTCTGGGTCGAGACTTTTAAATACCTGACGCGCTATATTTGCGCTTAATACCCTCGTCTTTAAAAAGAGGATAGTGCTCGGTCTTATTTGCTTGTTCGGGAACGGCTGAGGTATGAGCTGAAAGCTGTCTGTTCTTAGACCGCCTATCAAACCCAAATGTTGATCTTTCAGAATGCAGCCAGCTTGCCTGGGCGTCCCAGCCCTTCCGTCCAGAGTCTCCCTCCCCTCCCCAGAGTCTGCACTTATTGATGTACGTTCACGTGTCGACCAAAATTTCTAGCACCAGTAGGCCATTTCCGAGTTTTCCTGGGCCTCTGCATCAAAACGAGGTTAAGTGCTCAGCCTTTGATATCGAAAGGATTTGTCATTCTTATGCAAAATAAAACTCATTTCCATGAGAAAGGTTGAGTACTTGGCCTCATTTTTGGGAACTCCGAGGTGGTGTATTAGAAAAGGCTTGAAGATTTGCCATTTGCATCTCCCATAATACAACTTGTTTTGCCCCACCCCTGCCCCCAAAAAAAAAAAAAAAAAAATCATAAGTATTGTCCTCAGTTTATCTTGGGAAGTCTCTAATGCCCAAGAGCAGGAGAAAGTAGAAACCAAGGTTCTGCATATTTTGGGGGTCAAACAAGGTAAAGGTGTATTATGGGAAATTGTTTAATGGCGAATATAAGCATTGCACCCTCTCGGCAACATTGCAGTGCTTATTGTTTTTATTGCTTTTTGTTAGGAGATTGTCAATGCTGATGTAACTTACTATTATTTTTGATTTCATTATGGGTCTGAATCTGTAATTCTCTTTCTTTATTAAAGGTGATTATCAGAATTCCCTGAGTGACGCAAAAGCTGCAGTATCGTTACAACCTACTTACCTAAAGGCTATTGTTAGAGGTAACCATTTAGATGCCTTTAATACCTTTATTAACACTTCGTTTTTACATAATAATTACTAGGCAGGCTGACAATTACTGAAGAGCTTGTCGCGGCAAGCCAGACTGTACACAAGATTTTCTTACGTAAACATTCATATTTTTATACAATATATAAACATTTTAAATACAATTAAAACATATGTACTCATTACACCTTCCATTTTGTAAATATTTAGAAAGATTAATTATTAAGAAGAAAACAATTAGAACAAAAGAGCAATATGTACAAACTGAACTTAACTTAATTTTTTGCGTCATGAATTAGCGTATGTACTTTAAGCGTTAGACTTATTTTGAAATTTATTTATTTATTTATTTATTTATTTATTTTATCGCTTCCACCATGGTTGCAATACTAGAAAATATACATTTGAACAAATTTAGTACAAGAACAATCGGCGATGGTGCGCGGGACACATAACAGGGCGTATCTTCCAATTTCAGTCGTGCCCTTAAGGAAACTACACAAAATAACTTACTATGCTCAATAACATAACATTACTACTTCGCAGCAAGGCATCAAAGTTTGACACCAAATAAGTGTATCACTCAACCATCAACCTCATAGCCTTTTATGCCGATAACGACATAGCCGTTTTTTGTCTTAAGCTTCTCAAAAATACAGGGAATCTCATAAAGATAAAGTCACGCGCTATTTTAGGTGGTTCATCGTTTTGACAGCAGGTCTCAGTAGATTGGTCAGAATGATATCACCCACAATATTATGCCAGTCCTGTTTCCTGTCGCTTTCGTTGTCAACCCTATCAAAGGGAATTTCCTGAAAAAATTCTTTTAAAAGAAGATGGATCTTTGGGAGCTGAAACCCGTCTATTAGATACCTTTAATAGGAAGAAGACCGTGAAACTCCCTCGAATGAGCTTTACTTTTCAAAAATAACAAGAACAAAAAAGGTTCAAAAGCAGATGGAGCATAAAAACAGGAGTAAAGAGGACGGTACGTCTGTTAAAAATTTAATAACAATTCATTGATGCATAATTCTCTATTCAATGTTGTTTCTTTCCAAAAACTGAAAAATAGTAACATGCTGGAAAGCAATTAAGGAGGTTTCAATTCAAGTTCCACGCTAAAAGATATCGCGCACATCTTAAAAGCATCAGTAATTGATATTTGTCAATTTCCTTTTAGGGGCGACTTCCTGTTGGAAACTAAAAGAGTTTGAAGAAGCTGTTGAGTGGTGTGATCAAGGGCTATCAGTATCCTTTTATTTATTGGATGTACTGTCAACGTCTTTAACGGTCATTTTCATGGCTACACCATAACAGTAATTTCTTTGCTTCGCAAGTTGAAATGGAAACAAGTTGGGGTTTATTCTTCAAATAAGAGATCAAATTTTAAGGTAAACATCGGTTCACTCATCATTGCCAGTGTGGCGTCACATACCAACAGGCGAGAGCTTCGGGTCGCTATATGTGCAGATTTTCAAGCGACACCATAGTCATTCGAACAAGAGAGGTCGGGGATAAGATTATAAGCTAGGCAAATATTGCTATACATCGCTACTTTGATCGAAGGTGTGTGAGCTTTGTTGTTGGTTTTATCTCAGGGGGTGTTATCTGCTCGTGTAAACCTTTTTCGTATTTTCTGTCTACTCCGTAATTGTGTAATTTGTTAATTTGTGTCTCGGGACGTGTTTCTGGATCATCATGTTCTTTACGGGACCAACAAGGGCATAAGTAATCACTTCATTTTTTTTTCTAAAATAGGCAACGTCTAGTATCCAGAATAGGAGGTTCAATTCATGGGTCACACACGTTCTTGCGCTAATTAAATCGACCGTACTTCTCATCAATCTCTTCGAGTGTGGGCCTCTGTTTATTTCTGAATTCGCCATTAAATTCAGTACAGCTAGTTTGATCGATTTTCTACCACAATCGGCCTTTTGAACCCGAAATTATGCGAAATAGCTTTGAAATACGTGCTTAAGCTAATTTGTTCTCAAATGTTTCTTTGAATTCATGATAAATACGGCTCTACTAGCTTGAAACAGCGTCTATAGCAGAGAACAATGGTTTTAATATAACATTTACTTTCCCCAAAAACTCAGTCAGACCGTGGTGCAGTGGTCAAGGAGTTGTTTGCAAGTGCAGATGAACTAGGTTCGACTCCCGGCGAAGCTGCTTTCCGTTTCTTTATTATAATGTTTTCTATCTAAGTTTTCAGTTTTAATCCTGATTTTTACCTTTGGCTTATTCAGACCTTTCCCTTTATTCTTACTCTTGACTCTTTACAGCTTTGCGAGATTTTCGCGATAACGTATTTCTAATAACTTTGTTTTTTGTGTTGTACAGCGTAAAAGCCCTAGCTATAGGTAAACCACACAAAAGCCAAGTTACTGGAAATACGTTATCGCTAAAACCTCGCAAAGAGTAAGCAGTAAGGGTAAGCAAGCCATAGGGAAAAACAGGATTAAAAAACAAAAACTAAACACGAAAAAATGGAGAAATTGAGAATCAAAAGACTGCTTCGCTGGGAGTCGAACCTAGAGTAGTTCATCTGCACCCGGTTAGACTACGAGTAGTCCCCCAATTTCCTCAGGGATAGTAGAGCGTGCGAAACGCGAGCGCGCGTGAAAATCACCCCACCCGAGAAAAGGCGACACGCGGCGGGGAGAGATTTTTCTCTCTCCGCGCCACGTGTCGCCTTTTCTCGGGTGGGGTGATTTTCACGCGCGCTTGCGTTTCGCACGCTCTACTATCTCTGAGGAAAAATGGGGGACTACTCGTAGTCTAGCACCCGGGAGCAACCCCTTGACCATTGCACCACGGTACCACTCAACTTTTGGTGAAGTAAATTTGTTATATTAAAACTATTTTTCTCTGTCATAGACGCTGTTTGAAGCTGGTGAAGCTGCATTTATCATTAATTCAAAGAAAAATTTGAGACAAAATTAGCTTAAGCACGTATTTCAACATTAGCGGTGGGATTTGAGCCAATGCGAAACAATAAATATTTTGAATGATAATGATATAATAATTATAAAATTGAATTATAATTAATATTAAAAAATCTCCCAGAGAATCCTTTGGCGTATTTTTTGAAAAGCTTTATAACTTTGACAATTTTATACGTAGAAGACTGACAGACCACAACAAGATAACATTTGCCATAAAATATCTTCTCATGTCGCATCTAAGGAAATAACGTTATCAGTCACGTGACTATCGCTGAATTAGGTTTTTTTGTTTGTTGCTGTGACAAGATTTCATAAAAAAGTTAGAAACAAACAGCATATTTGAGATTTAAGGTGTGTTGGGCATTTAAAAATAACCAGTTGACGTCTGGCATTTAAAATTTAAGGGGGTAATGAACATGAGCAAAAAAGTCGGGAGACTAGGCCGAGAGCTGTAGAGAGTCAACCTTTCATCACACGGCAAGAGAAAATTTGCGGGAAAGTAATGTTCTAAATACAATTTTTCTCATGACCGAAAGAGGGACATGACGACATCATTCACGTGATCAAAGAGTTTTGAATGTTTTAGTTCATTTTTAAAGTACCTTTTTGTCTTAAATAGGCAAGTTTGTGTTGTTTTTCTCAACAATTCTTTACACTGCATTGTCTCTGAGTAATTATTATTCCATTTTTAAAGCAGAAGCAAACAAAAACTGAGTCAGAATTTTAAAAGTTGCGTAAATTGACCGCTATTGCAAGTTAAAATCGGAAAGGAGACTTACTTTTGAGACTTTTGTAAAATCCTTTTTCAACTTAACTGTTTGTTCGCCGAAATAAATGTTCAACGTCTGTTAAGAAAAGAGAACTTTTAAAGCTAAAAGGATGTATTTGGCGGAAATATTGTTTTTCTTCATTCCGGGGAGAGAGATCATGTAGCAGTTCTTCCAACCCTAATAGCCAAATGGTTTGCTTCCCTGACCTAAAACAATGGAAATAATGATAAACAATGTTGTGTTAATATTTTCGCCGACCGATGAAAAGACACCTTACAAGCAGGATAAATGTTTTCCACCCAGGGATAATCAAAGGCAGCGTTATCGTTTGAATGAATATATACCAATATTGGGGGTGTATTTCGCACATATTTACTCAGGGTGTTTAATTAGGTTTAATAACTTATTGTTCGTGGCTGAAACGCAAGTCTGTTGTTTGCCGCTTTCTAAAACCTTGTTACCGAACTTGACCATCCTAAGATTGACAATTTTAACAAAACGCTCTTAGAAATAAGGAGGTCATATGTAAATGTTGAATATAAGCTCCCAGAAAAGCAAAAGGAGATTCCAAAGAAGTCAGAGGCTACCACTGTGAAAGAAACGGTAAGTGGTTAGTGTACATAACATATATACGAGCTGGATATCTGATAATTTGCGAGTCACGAGCAGGAATCGATCCCGGAGTGCTAAGTCTGCAGTCTCCTGCCCTAACCACTAGACCACCGAGGATTCGCTGCAGGACGACGTTGGAGTAATTTAAGTACTGTAGCGAAAACCCTAACCCTAAATAGAAGCTAACCGTTAACCCTAATCACTATTCTAAGTGCTTAACCCTAATCAGTATGGCCCGTGCTTAACCCTAATCAGTATGGTCAGTGCTTAACCCTAATCAGTATTTTCAGTGCTTAACCCTAATCAGTATTGTTAGTGCTTAACCCTAATCTCTATAGTCAGGGCTCACTCATATATGTATACATATATTCAATTACTTTGTGTAGGCATCATAAGATATCCAAGGGCGGTTTGAGATATGGAAACTAGCGTTTACCGCTTCAACCAAACTCTAGACTTAAGATCTTTAAAGCATTTCAGGATCGCTTGACTTTTCTTAATTAATCGAAATATGATGGTTTGGTTTCACTGGATTTTTTTCGATTTGTGAAATGTACCGAGAATATATATAGGACTGCCGGTCATTTAGTGTTTTGAAGAGGGGGTGAAAGGTACGGTGGCCCAGAAGGGTCACACATGTAAATTAAAAATGTTGCCGTAAATTAAAAACAGTACATGCAAACTAAAAATATTACCCGCAAATTAAAAATAGTACACGCAAACTAGAAATATTACATGCAAATTAAATATAGTACATGCAAACTAAAAATCGTGCTGCAAATTGAAAATAGAAAACATATCAAAAGTAGGTTGAGTTTGATCGTCCGGATGAACGTAGTCCTGAATAGGACTGTTGTTGTTGACAGTGACTGAAGTTTCATAGCCAATAACATCACGGCTTAACTGACAGACGACCAATAACATCACGACGTAATTGACCAATCAAATCAATAACCAGAGTATAATACCATCAACTGACGTGATACAAATCACTTTGACTCTGAAGATGACTACCGCACAGGTTGTCGAAACGTCAGTCACTGTCAACAACAACAGTCCTATTCAGGACAACGTTCACCCGGACGATCAAACTCAACCTACTTTTGAAATGACTCCTGGGTTCAAACCTTTCACAGAAAACATATCGATGCAAATTAAAAATGAAAAGTCCTGCGCGCGCAGTATGAGTGATGAGGACCTGGTCCGAGCCGTGCGACCCGGCCTTACAGCCGTCGGCCCGTTCATGTTTCATGTTTGTAATATTTTTAGTTTGCATGTACAATTTTTAATTTGCATATCTTATTTTTAATTTGCAGCAACATTTTTAATTTGCAGGTAAAATTTTTAGTTTGCAGCAACATTTTTAATTTGCATGTGTGACCCTTCTGGGCCACCGTAGAAAGGGGTTATTGCGTGATTCGTGACTAAGTGTTTTTAATTTTCTTGAAAGGTGAAAATACGGATATAAAACCCGTGAACTGTGACTGGTTTGCTTGTCGTGATACGTGAACTTTAAAATCTTTTACCCGATATTCGTAATTTTCAACTAATTTTTTCGTGAAAATAGTCTCAACTGAAGACAAATTTTACAGGGAAGCCATTGGAACTTCAAATGAATTTGTCTAAAAGGTCTTAACAGACTCAAAGGCCGGTTATTTAAACGAAGGTTAGCCAGTGGTTGACAAAACCGTGTTCTAAGCCATTTTCAATTTTTTATTCAACGCTTTTATTTTAACACCGGTTATCGTGAACGTTTCATGGCAGCAACAGGGTAGACTGGAGAAACAACAGATACAATTATTTTCTTAACCCTTTTCGGACGGCTAGGGTCGTATACGTCCCCATATGGTAAAATGTATACAATTTTCTTTTGACCAATTTAGCTTTCAGTTGATGTTAATAAATTGGTAAGCAACAACGTCAGCAAAGATATACCTTTCCAGGGATACCTCGTTTTGGGATATTCTTACTAACCCTGACAGAGTTACACTTACAAAAAAAGGTAAAATTTTGGGGAAAATTCCACTGCCATTTTCCTTGTTTACATACTACTTGAAAATTAAACTTGTCCCTTTCCTAAAAAGTTAGCCGGCCACAATTCCATGCAAAAGAAAGACGATAAAGTGGGCAACAAAACCGCCAATAAAGAAGGGAAAAAAGAAAGCGAGAGAGAAAGATCGAAATAGATCCGCCAAGAAAAGTCCAAATTTTGGCTTTTGCGCATGCGTGAAAAACAAAAAAGCTGTTTAATTTCGTCAGATTAGTCGGAAAATATGTCTTTTTTCTTCGAAAACTCGTTTTTAGCCACAATTATGCTAATTAGCCGAAAACTAGTCCAAGGAAGAGGAATTGGTGAAAAATGCAGTTTTTCGCTACTCGCCGGCCGTCACCAAAGGGTTAAAATAACTTACTTAGGAAGAGATCTGGATGCCCAATGATTTCTTAAACCGCGGCGTAAGTTGGGCTTTGTTTTAAATAATCGGCACTTGCAGTCGTTCCTATATATGTCGTCCTAAACTAGGACCAAGCCTGCGAGAGCAGACAACTTTTTTGGCTCTTGTTTCACCCGCCGAGAAAAGGGCGTCTGCGATCCCGTGCGGGAAACGATTTCCGTGAGCTGATGAGTCAGTTTTTTCAACCAATTATAATTCAGCTTTTATTTTCGTGGAGCTAACACATGTGGGGTTTGCTTGGGGATCTTGGTTGCAATGGCCGGCAGTTTTTAAATTAGAGGGACAAGTCTTTAAACTGGAAGTAGTAATATATCATGTAGATCCTAAATCTGTGGGATCCATGGGTTTTCTTGGAGGTAAAGATCTAATTCGAATACCCATAAACAGTAAGCATTCATCCCTTGAAGCTCTTAAGCGGCACATCATTGAGTACACTGGTTCGAAATCTGAGTCCGAAAAGCGTGGTGTAATAAGATCCTCTATTGAAATAGAACTCTGTCGGTTAGCCGTGAGAAAAGTCTGCAAAATGAAGCAAAGCTTCTGCGGTAAACAACGACGACAAAGAGGATGAAATGACTTTTCTACGAGCAGTTACTATATACTCGTAGGGGAAGAACCGTCAAACTCACTTTTGAGACAAGGGAGAGTCAAATGACGTTCCTTTTGAGTACTATATATCCATCAGCATTAGTCATCATTAGTTTACCTTCACCTACATTTCATTGTATGTTTACCTGACTTCCGTTACTTCCCTGCAGTAGTTGTGCAGGTAGGCAAAAAAAGCAAAAAATCGACTCTACTATTAAACGTCAATTAATTAAATGGTAACTCATCATTAACTCTGCGGACAGCAGCATTCTGAGCAGGTCCAGCCAAGCACTGTCCTTTTACTTCGAGAATTTCCATGACACGTGAACACGGGATTTTAATCCCTCGTGATGCGTTATTTCTACTTTTTAATGTCCTCTTGATTCGCTTGATTCGTGCGTAGGACCCCCCCCCTTTACCCCCCTCTTTGAAAACCCAGCTGGAAGACCTTGACCGGCAGTCGAGCTGAAAAAAGTTTTAAGTGTCATGACAAAACATGGTATCGTCTTCTGAGCCCAGCGTAAACCAAACGCTAGACTTGAGATCTATAAAGCATTTCAGGATCGCTTGACTTTTCTTAATCGACATATGATAGTTTAGATTAGAGGGAATTTTTCGATTTTGTGAATATAATTTTGGGAATATAAGACTGCCAGTCATTTAGTATCTTCAACACCTTGACCGGTTACCGGCCATATATATATATATTACCCTGGGTACCAGAGGTTTTTTCTCGCCTGCATCGGGGAGCTTCCTTTCGTTTTTCGCACGGGTCACTTTTTAAGACTTGACCGAAAGCGAAAACCGGGCATGAAAAGACTCTGGCATCCAGGGTACGGCCATATAGCCACAGCTTTGAAATTCATTTGTTTTAAACTGCTTGAGCACTGTCACTTTTCTCCTTTATTAGTTTTTTTTTATATATTTCATGACTTTCTCTGTGTGTTGGTTACTTGATAGATCAGATTTACATTTCTTTAGCATTTGATTTTTGGCATGTGTGTTTTGGCATACGGTATTTAGCATTTGTTTTCTGGCCGATCTACTTTTTGGCATACATTGTCTGTTTTGAAAAGCATTTCGTCAGCATTTCATCGGTAACTTTTTGGCATCTCTATAGCACTCACGCTTATAAGGGAGCTACAATTGTACAGATCCTTGCCCGAAGCTGTACTTGTTCTGACCTTAGGAATTCAAACCCGACACAGTGGAAGTATCCGATTGCATGTGCACCTGAATATTCTAGAAACTTGTTATCATCTCCGCATTTCTTTGATGCAAAGATCACTTTAAGCTTATTTAACGCTTTTTAGTTGTAAAATAATTTGCTTTCTCATGGGAACGTCAACGTCGCTTTACAATTCGAGGACCGTTTTTTGTGAGCTAAGGCTCTTTGGCTTATTCGCTTTTTGCTGAACGAAATCCTCTCGTCAGGCTTGAATTAATCTCTTCACTCCTTTCGATCGCATCTTCTCCATATCAAGTAATATCGGGAACAAATGTGCACAATTCGTCCAAATATACAACAATGATCCACGCTCAATTATTTCGACGTCCTTTTAACAATTCCACGTCCATTTCTTGCAGATGATATTGTCAGCGTTCTTTTAACCTGAGATCAGGCCCAATTTTAGCGGTTGTCATAAATTAGGCCTGATACAAACTCTCTCACGTTTGTGCTGGTTACGGCCAGATTTTGGCCGTAGCGCTGATTGGCTGTTAGAACAATGCCACAAGATCTGATTGGCTGTCGGAAACGCCGGAAGTTGAAAGCGCTTATTCCTCGCGTGGTTGTTTTCGTGAATGATCCGCCGTCGGCTGAAAGAAGGATCAATTTTGCTGTCTTTTCTATTGTTTTATGGTCTTATGGTAGAAAAATATGCCTGAATATGTGCCATGGAAATTCGGAAAATTCATATGGTTGTTCATATCTTCTCAGGATTTGCTTTATTTACGGAACTAATGTGAGTGTATCGCGGAGTTGAATCCCTCTGCAAGTTGTTGACCGCTAACAAGGTGCCTTTTGATTTACCAACAAACGAGTGCAAAATACTGTCATTCTTAAAACTGGTTTCATTTGAAAGTTTAGCCGGGAATAACTTCTCTGAACGGGGTACGCAAGCGAAGGCTCACTGCGAAAGAAACCTCAATCGCCAACTGTGAAGTATTAGACGAAAAATATCGCATCGCTGTTCAAGGATTTTTTGTAGGCATTATCATGATATAAAAGCTGGTGGCTTAAAGTAACAGACTGGTTGTTTGCCTTCGCTTTTTGTAAAAAATAAACCAGGAAAACTGGTGTCCTCGCTCGTTGGCTGTTTGCTTTTTGTTTTTAAAGATTTATGTACTGAAAATCTCGGAAAATTGCCGAGGAAAATATTAAGGCAACAGAAAAATAGAAATTTCGAGCGCGCCTAGCCAAAATAATAAAACTAGTACAACATCATATCACCGTCTTTTCGAAAACTTTTTACCTTCTACACCAGCAGAAATAACCTTCGAGATCTCCCTTAATCTCGCAAGAAGTTAAATGTGATTGTGCTGACTGTGTTATTTTCAGCTGAAAAAATTAACAGATAAAAGCTTTTTTTTAAGTCAGCCAGTCTGCATTTTTCCCACGCGTGAAAGATTTGCATACTAGAAAAACAAGCAACCGAAGTAATTTTGGTTGGCTGATTCGGCAAATGTCAATCAATCAAAAAAGTGGGCGGCAGACGTTTCGTAGAAGGTTTGTATCAGGCCCTCTTTTCGTTTCGCCTTGCCCGCCGGAATGTAATTTTTAAAGCGAAACGAAAATAGAGTCTGATCTCAGGTTAGTGTTCTTTAGAATATTTCCATTTAAACAAAACCCATCTTCGGCTGGCTACGCTTTTGTGTCGGGAAAAAATGTGCGCCTTATATACTAGTACCCCCTAGAACGGGCAAGTTACCAGACGTAGATGATCGTGTATTGGGTGAATGAATTGTTAAGTTTTCGTCAAATAAATTGAGGAGATTTGGTGGCGAAGTGTTGTTCGTACATTACAATAACTACAGACTTACATAAATGCCCCTGGTAATATATCAGCGTCTATAAACAGAGGCATTGCAAAAGGAATAAAAAAAAGAAAAATGGCGAAGGGTCGCTCAGTGGCTAAACACGGTTAGTATAATAAAGGTCGACTATTTGGTTTGGCGTTATGACTAGCTGATTATTGTGATAATTCTGCAGAAAGGTAGTTATTAACGCCAGTAAAGAGAGCAGAAGTGCCCAAATTGCATTTTTGCTTTTCTCGCCCCCAACTTTTAATTCCTTTGCGACCCTTCTCTATTTGGGCACCACACGGACCGAGATTTCTCCATGTAAAGCCAACGTTAAGGTTTTCCGCCTTCTAGAATGTTCCTGGTATAGGATCTTCTCGACCTACAAAACTGTGCGGTACGTGTTCAGATCTTGTTTAATGCACTTCATTAAGAAATGTGCGATAGACTTTATACACTACAAATAATACACGTTAAAACAACCTAAAACCTTTTTTCAGCAAAAGACAAACTCAGGCTCGAAAAGCTACGAGTCTGTCACTAGGAGAAATGAAAACTCTTTGAAATTTAGATACTTTTTTTGGGTGAGGATAGAAAAAGTGCAAAGAGACTCATCAAACTTCATTCAAGAGGTATATAGGGCACGAGTTATGGAAAAAAGGTAGCACCCTGAAAAATTCCTGACTGACAATGAATGAAAGCATGAATAACAATTCAATAGAACAAGAAAGGCGGGTAGTGTTTTCGTGGTGTAGTTGTTGTTGTTGTTGTTTTGTTTTGTTTTGTTTCTTAGCTTTCTTCGTTCACGTTTAATAATTAATACTGAATGGCAAATACCTGATCAAAGCTTTCTTTTCACAACTGAGCCTCTACTTCTTACATTGGTGAAACCGGCAGAAACCTAAGCACGCGACTGACTGAGCACGAACGAGTGACGAAGAATGGTGCCGTCAACAATCACACTGCTGAGCACCATTTAAAGCCGAAACATCAAATTGACTGGGACTCTGCGACATGTATAACGTATTCTACAGCCAACTATCAACGTCTTACTTTATAAAGCTGGTTTACTAACTTAGAACAAACGCCACTGAATCGTAAGCAACAGTTACCATTTCCGTACAAACGACTTATTGACGAGATCAAGCAAAACTAACTACGAGAGAATGACAATTTGACTAACAATAGACGACTGTTTAACTGTGACAATGGACGGATCGAAACGCACCAATTACTGATTACGAGTCTTCAAAGCCAATAACATCACGGCTTAACTGACAGACGACCAATAACATCGCGACGTAATTGACCAATCAGATCAATAACCAGAGTATAGTACCATCAACTGACGTGATAAAACTCACTTTGACTCTGAAGATGACTACCGCACAAAAACGTCAGTCACTGTCAACAACAACAGTCCTATTCAGGACTACGTTCACCCGCACGATCAAACTCAACCTACTTTTGAAATGACTCCTGGGTTCAAACCTTTCACATTAATAAATTTATTTAAATCAAACAATAAACTTGCATTCCACAATTCAGTTAACTTTAGAGCACATTCATGTGACTTTTGAGGGAAACGCTAGGTGATTTTAGAGAAAATAATTTGCAAACAGCCCAAGATAGCCCAAGATAGCCTCATATGTACACCCCCAAAATAGCAATCATCTTCGATCATATTTAAGAGCCATAATGGCTCTTGATCACCGTAGATTAATTAGGCCTGGAAAAGAAATCAGGCCAAATTTTGCGTTCGACAAGTTTACTTTACAAAATCCTGCCAACAAATCTGAGTGCGTGTAAACCAACCTTTTATACCATTTAAACATCACATCTGAGGTGAAACAGTACTATGAGGCACTGTTTTTATCATACAGACCTCGGACAGAATGCAGTATTTCACAATTTTGCAATACAAAGTGCACTCATTCAGTGTTCAGGAAGATCGATTGACGCACTCGTGGGCGTTTAGCTAAACCCTTAAAAAAATTTCCAAAATCACCTATGTATGGCCAGCCGGTTCTCACTTTTGCAGAGCGAGCTGTGGTCGTGTTTGAATGAACATTAACAGAGTTACGCTTCAACGTAATAAAGAATTTATTATGGTTATTTTTTATATAATGGTTTTATCGACGTGTAATCTTCAAAAGCGTTTGATACGCGCGGCAGTTTGAGTACTCTTGCAAGCGATGTTCACTGAACGACTGAAAACAAACGGCACAGCGATTAAAATTACAAGAGAAATTACTGACAATCAATAAAAGAAATATAATTCGGTGAAACATATACAGAGACAACAATTTTCATTCACGAAGACAAGTATTAAAGTGTCTCTAAAAATCCTGAGTCTTAAAGCTTAATAAGTTTATGTTTTAAGCCGGCTTCCTGGTGTTTGCTTCTTTACAAATACCGTCGGTTGCATCTAAGTGTGTACACGTGAGGAAAAAACATGTTGTAATTCGAGACAAACATGACATGTTTTGCCGCCAAACAATCAAAGTTTGGAGTAGGCGGCTGCTGTCGACTTGATTTATTTTCGCTCAAAAAAAAAAATTTTTGCAAGAATTTTTAGAAGTTACGAATAATTTCTGGCGGCAAGTGTGCTGTTTCTAAGGCTGCGCACAAACGGAAGCAGCAACTCCCAACAATGTTGGGACCTGCAGTGCATCGTGGGAAGGATACAACCCATAAGTCTTTGTAAACCACGCGTAATGAGCGTACATGGCCCCAACAATGTTGGAAGAGCTGTGCAAACGTGATCCTTCGGCGATCACGGAACAAAAGAAATGTTGGGAGTTGTTGGCTGAAAAGTTTGACCGATTTCGAACTTTGCACAACAACACGCAACAACATGCAACAGGGTGTACAAACGGACGCAACATGTAACGTCCGTGGGAGTTGTTGGCCAACAATGTTGCGTCCGTTTGCACGGGGCTTAAACGAGAAATATGCGTGAAGGTTGGGAAAAATGAAATGTGAGCGGAACGCGCTGATCAAAAACATATAAACAACTTACCTTTGGCGCGACAGTTTGCTTTTACGGCTGTCAAAGTTCAAAAGTTTGGCGGCAAAACACGTCTGACTGGCGCCCTATTAGATCATGTTTTTAGCTCATGGATGACGTAGTCATGCCGTGGGCTTTTGGAGGCACTCGAATGGCGCTCGATCACTCACTCACTCACTCACTCACTCACTCGATTCTCAGTAATTTATTCATTAAAGTCAGATTAAACACTTTACTCTTTACCTCCCTTACTTAGTATTACTTTTGTTCCAAGTGCCTTTTGCTCATATGTTTGGAATATTCTAGAGAGTACTAGTAAAGCGTATCTTTTTCCCCGACACATCAGTTATAGAGATGGGTTTTGTATAAATGGAAATATTCTAAAGAACACTGATAATATCATCTGCAAGAAATGGACTTAGAATTGTTAAAAGGACATTGAAATAATTGAGCGTGGATCATTGTTGTATATTTTGGACGAATTGTGCACATTTTTTCCCGATATTGCTTGATATGGAGAAGATGCGATCGACATGAGTGTGAAAGAGCTATCGCAGCCTGACGATGGGATTTCGTTCAGCGAAAAGCGAATAAGCCAAAGAGCCTTATAATCACTGCAAAAAACGGTCCTCGAATTGTTAAAGCGACGTTGAGGAGTATCTATTGTGGTTTCTTGATATTTGGACGAATCCATTCCACCATTTGTCTTCGTATGCAAACAGGGAATGAATTAATGTTACAAGCATTACGCTATTTTGCTTGAATTCTTAGGTGATCTGTGCCTTAAAGAGGGTTTTTGTTTGTCGGTAATTCCATTTAGCAGTGCTATTAATTAATGTAATTTCTACAAGAAATACTGCGCTGGTATACACAAGTCTCTAGAACACCTAGGTGGAGAAAGGCAATCGGATACTTTGACTGCGTTTAAATTACTTAGCTATGTCAGAGCACGTACAGCTTTGAGCTTAAACCGTTTTATTAAAATAATTTTTAGCTAGTGTTTATCAAAAGCGCGTTTTAAAGCAGTTTAATTTAGCCATAAACGCCTGTATTCTGTATTTAATAGCTCGTTCTACATATGCCAGGGGTACCCAACGTCAATTTTCGGAAATATCTAGTCGGAAGACGATTTGAGATCTAGAATTTTCGGAACATTTTTTGTAAAATTTCTTGCTTGCCTGCCTCTCCTAGGATTTTCGAACATCTAAAAAAATGGTATAATTGCCCATTTCTAACGGATTTTTACCCTAAAAAGGTCGCCTAGAATTTTCGGGAGCCTTTTTTCTACCTGAAATTTTCGAAAAGATAAGGTTTGATCCCTATAATTTTCGGATCACTAGACTTTCAGCTAGGAAATCCGAACAGATGAAAAATTTTTAGGGGATAAAATATGCCTATATCTACCGTTTAAATACTAAAATACGTTTAACAATGCTATGTTTAAGTGGTTTTGAACTATATTCTCGTTGGGTGCCCCTGATATACTAACCGTTACGTACTCTTTATGAACAGCATATGGAAACATTTATTTAAAAGCATCGCGGCACTTTTAAGAAACCTTCGAGGTCCATTAAATTAATTTTTTAAAACCACGGTTTAAATAAAACTCGGGCTTATGTAAAACTTAGCTATTTTACAAGAAAGTGCATTGTCGTTCGGAAAGTGTTTGACAGTCACATGAGAAAGCAAATTATTTTACTGCTAAAAAGCGTTAATAATTGCTTTTAAAAGTGATCTTTGCGTTGTAAGTAGAAATGCTGCGCTGATAACAAGTTTCTAGAATATTCAGGTGCACATGCAATCGGATGCTTCGCGTCACGCTGTACTTTGGCAAGTCCGTACAGAATGAACCGTCCAAAAAGATTTATCTGTTTTTCTTTGATTATTGAACTGTCTTTTCTACACTAATTCAATTCATCCATGAGCTTGCTCCTAGGAGCCTTTGAATTGTCTCGTGTCCACGCTTAGATGCAACCGACGGTATGAACTATGGGCAAGAAAATCGCTCAAAGCTTTCTTTTACAGTCAGAATTATAACTAAATAATCTTTGGAACGTTTTCTTTCTATTTGCGGTGTAAGCTTATATCAAACCTGATACTCGGTCAGATCATTGTCTCAAATCTTACAAACGTGCATAAACTAAATAGCCGCATAAACTACGCTCGACTTCATTAAATTACATATAAAAAGCAAACATCAAATACAATAATTACTCAAATACCCAATAAACAAACTAGCCATGAATAACAGAAGACTCCTGATAGCAGCTGAATTTCATTTTGTACATCCAGTGGAAAAAGACAGTTAAAAACATCACAAGTTGACACAAAACTCTTCAGCTCTCAAAGAAAACAAGATTCAAGATGCTACGTAAATTTTCCGCATGATCTCGCCTGTCAAATTTTGACCAATCAGAGCATAAAAATTGGACGAAGAGCGTGTTCAACGCGTGATCATGGTGAGCAAAGACAAAAGGGCAAAAGTTACGTTTGTTTTGACATTTGTGACGGCATTGAAAGGGCGTCATCGGGCGGACATCGTGTGCGAATGCAATTCCCTCAAGAATTTTGACATCTGTGGCGGCATTGAAAGGGCTTCATCGCACGGATATCGTGCGCGAATTCAATTCCCGCAAAAATGTTTCCTTTTATGTGATAAACAAGTAATCGCAAGTGCCCTCGGGCAATTAAGGATCAATTTCACGCCGTATTTTCAAAATACGCTTGAAATTAATCCTTAATTGCCCTCGGGCCTGTGCCATTACATATACAAAGCAGGAGCATGTGCATTTTTAACTTGATAACAGGAGGCCATTCATAGCGGGTCTTAAATCATGAAAATATGCATCGGACTTAATTACGCCGGAGATAATAAACAAGTCGAACCATACAAGAAAACAATAGATAATCAACCTCACCTTAGATGAAGCTCTAGAAAGGCAGAAAATGAGGTCAGAAACATACTTTGCTGTAAAACCCTGCATAAACTCATAACGCAGCCATCTATGAATTCCGCTTATGTGACGCTTTTCTCAACCGCACATAAATAAACAAACTATCAGACCAGATTTGAACATGAAAAACAACCTAATCTTCATATCAACTGTATATCATGTTGTGGCAGCATTGAAAGAACACAAAAAGTTTAAAACTAAAATTGCAGAACGTTCCGTTATAGGTAAACACACTTCAAGATGCTGCATACGTAAGTTTCCATGCCCGAATTCACCTGTGAATTCACTTTGCCCAATTTGAGACCAGATTAAAGCAAGCTAAAAATGTATCTTTCAAGTTTTTTGTCGAAAATCAAGCAAACAAAACTTCAAGATTTTTACTGGCAGGAACAACTTCATTGGCTGCCTCTAGGTGAACTGGTTAACCTTTCACCAAGATAAACGCAAGCTGCGTATGTCTTGGACTCACCCTTCCCTTCTCTTGCAGAATATCCATATCCGTACCCACACAGTCTGTACGGTCGGGTGGGTAGACAGGCGTACGCTAGGTTTTCAATTTCTGTAGCAATGGAAGCTGATGGAGGCTTTTAATATGCTTTCGGCGAAAATATAAATAGAGTTTATCAACAGCAGAATATCTTATCCATCCATTTTGAAACGTCTAGGCCATCTAGAGATCACATTGCTCTTTCAAATCTCAACTTCCATGTCAGAATCCTCATTCAGGGTCGTTGTGCTGTCATCGTTAGCTTATCCTTTCTTTGAAAATGACATTGAACAAGATGCAATTCGCAAACCTTTGTTAATCAAGAAAGGAACTGACTGGAGTAATTGTCATGGAGGACGTCCATTGGACAGGGGGGCGTTTGTTAGAGAGGAGCGTCTAATAAGACAAACTTGAAAGCGCAAGGGAGGCGTTCCATAGACAAGAGGCGTTCATTATAGAGGGGGCGTCAATTAGACCATTTACTGTACATGGCTGTAAATGGATTTTTCAAGGCATACCTACACTTAAAGCTAAAACGGCACTTTAATTTAAGGTCAATAGTACAACTTTCAACACTTTATTATCTTCTTACAAAGTCTTTCAATTCGTGGTTCCTTAAGTTTGGAGGGAAGCGATGTGAATATATCTTTTTTTCTTCAGTTCAAGACCTTTAATTCTTAAAAATTTATTATGACAAATACCGAAAGTGAATACATACAACTCGACAACACCTAAAAAAAAATGTCATAAGAGATAAGGGCAACTGGATGGGCGCACTTGGAATTAACTGATAAATAATACAAAATCAAAATAACTTGAAGTTTGTAAACGTGACTTGACATACCACCAGGGCATTTGAATTTCCTGAATGTCAGCTTTTTAAGGTCAATCACGTGCGGCTCAAGGCAAACTGTTTATCGTCGCAAATAAGTTAAATCCTAACAAATTAATACTTATTCAAGTATTAATGACTGAATCGTATTGAGGCAAGTAAGCACATGATTTAAATACAAAAGGATTAAGAAAGTCATTAACACACAGAACTGTCTCTAATACCCTTAATACGTTTTCACCGTATATGTGTCACTTAGATTTGATCTAAGAGCAAGTTAATTTTACAGGTGATTGACTCATATCAACCATCAACGAACTGGTCCGTAAAAAAGCACCCCATGGAAATAATAGATGATTTACGGGCAAGCCATGCTTTACAAGGAGTGAAGACCGGTTTTGGTGATATGGTAAATCTTTCTGCGGAGGATGCGAAGGACGTGGTAGACTTCTACAGCCGACGACTCGCTACTGCCAAACATCGGGGAGATAAAGCTGCTGAAGAAGATGCGTATGATACTCTTGGTTTTGTTTTTCTGATTCAGCGTGACTACAAAAAGACCATAGACTGTCTCAGTCGAGCTCTTGATATTGTCAAAGAATTGGGAGACAAGAGGAAGGAAGCAGATTATTGTCAATCTCTCGGCGATGTTTTCCTAGAAGTTGGCAATTTCAATAAAGTGATTGAGTACCAAAAAGTTGCCCTCAGTCTTTCAGTTCATCTTGGGGAAAAACTTATAGAAGCGTTTGCCTACAACTGTCTTGGCAATGCTTTTCGTGGTTTGTGTAGGTACAAAAAAGCAATAGACTACTACAACCGCTGTCTCAGTGTTGCCAAAGATCTGGATAACAAGAAACTAGAAGCAGTTGCTTATGGTAATCTCGGTCATGCTTTTCACTGTCTTAGTGATTACAAACAAGCCGAAGTTTATAGCAGCAAATCTCTTAGCATCATCAAAAGTTTAGGAGACACGTCTGGGGAGGGAATCGTGTACAGAAATCTTGGCGATGTCTATTCCGGCTGTGGTGATTACACAAAAGCCCTAGAATATTTCAACAGGTCCTTTACTATTGCTAATAATGAGGGGAACAAGGGGGAAATGGCTCAGGCGAGTGGAAATCTTGCAAATGCTTTCCTTAATCTTGGAGATACCAAAAACGGAATAAAATACGCCAATCTGCAGCTAACTTGTGCCAAAGAAATGGGCAACAAAGTTATGGAAGGAAGGGCCTACGGCACCCTTGGGCATATTTATAAGATGCTCGGAGACTACAAGAAGGCGATAGAATATAACTACATGCACCTTGACATTGCCAAAGCTGTTGGAAACTTGGAAGCTGAAGGTTCCGAGTACGGTGGCCTTGGTAGTATTTTTGACAGGCTCGGAGATTTCGAAAAAGCCATTGACTACCACAAGCAACATCTTCGTATTGCTGAAACCATTGGAAACAAGGCTGGAGAAGGAATTGCATATGGTAATCTTGGCAACGCTTATCTTAGCCTTGGAGATTTCAATGCAGCCCTCCACTTCTTTGAACACCGCCTTAGAATTGCGAAAGACCTGAAAGATAAGGCAGGGGAAGGACGTGCCTATGGGCACCTCGGCATAACTTTTCAACGTCTTGGCAACTACAAGAAAGCCATGAACTATTACAACTGGCGTCTCCGTATTGCCCAAGAACTTGGAGACAAGCTTGGGGAAGGGACTGCTTGTGGCTGTTTAGGTACAGTTTCCCAGTTTCTTGGTGACTACAAGAAAGCTATCGATTGGCACAACCAACAGCTTAGAATTGCTAAAAATATAGGCGATCAAGGCATGGAAGGTATAGCCCGCAGTTACATTGGAAAATGCTTTGAGACGCTGAACGTTTTACCTAAAGCACTAGAAAACCACCAAAGAAGCGTTGAAGTTTTCAATCAAATGAGGAGTCTTCTTCAGTCTGAAGATAAATGGAAGATTGGATTTCGGAACGAATGTAACTATGCTTACACAGGCCTTTGTAGAGTTTTGTTAAAACAAGAAAAGATTGATGAAGCTCTGGCCGCTGCCGAAGAAGGTCGGGCCCAGTCACTAGCTGATCTTATGACATCCCAGTATGGTTTTCATCAAGGTCAAACGGAAGGAAAGTGTCTAGACGAAGAGGAATTCGGCATGTTAAACAATGCGTCATCAAGCACGATTTTTCTATCTGTGTCAGAAAATAAGATAAATATCTGGCTAGTTTTGAAAGAGAAACCTGTTCTTCACCGACAGAAGACACTTTGCCATTATTTTTCAGAAAATGCAGCTGCTGAAACATTACAGTCCCTAATCCAATTTGCCTACGAAAACAATGATGTTCGTGCGAATGTTAACTGCGAGAATCGGTCCTTGGATGTGTTACGCGAAAACCGCTATACTGTGGAGCGGTCACCCAAAAAGTGCTCACAGCAAATTCTCCAAGAGGATAACCTTCCCCTAGCCGCCTTGTACAGCTATGTGATTGCCCCGATATTAGATGTGATTGAGGGCGGTGAGCTAATAATTGTCCCGGATGGTCCATTATGGCTAGTACCGTTTGCTGCATTACTGAATCCTTTTTCCGAATACCTGTGTGAATCATTCAAAGTCAGATTAATTCCTTCGCTTACAAGTTTAAAAATTATTGCTCATTGCCCAAAATTCCACAGCAGTAGTGGAGCTCTAGTTGTAGGAGATCCAGATATGAGTGAAGTTACCAACAGCCAAGGAGATCAGATCCTGGAGCAGCTTTCTTTTGCCAGACAAGAAGCACAGATGATTGGGCAGATTCTTAATACGGCACCTCTCACTGGAAAATTGGCCACCAAATGTAAAGTGCTAAAACAGATTAGTTCGGTTGCGGTAGTACACATTGCTGCACATGGACGCATGGAAACCGGAGAGATAGCGTTGAGCCCGAATCCTGAAAGGCAATCGCAGAGCCCTGCAGAAGAGGATTACATGTTGACAATGGCAGATGTGATGAGTGTGAAGTTGCGAGCCAAGCTAGTTGTCCTTAGTTGTTGTCACAGTGGTCGGGGAGAGATCAAAGCTGAAGGCGTGGTCGGTATTGCACGTGCCTTTATTGGTGCTGGTGCTCGTTCTGTTCTGGTGTCGCTTTGGGCCGTCGATGATGAGGCCACGTTGGAGTTCATGAAAAGCTTCTACCATAACCTTGTTAAAGAGCGAAGTGCGAGCGAGTCCCTTAACCACGCAATGAAATGTCTCAGAGAATCCGAGACGTTCAGCGATGTAAAATACTGGGCGCCTTTTACGCTTATAGGCGATGACGTCACTCTCGACAAACAAGAAGAAATCAGGGTCTCGTAAATAAAGTAAGAAATTATGTCCCCAAAAGGCAGAGAGATGGTATGAAACAAAGTCTTGTCGATCTTTCTACAACTTCATCTGACTGTGAAAAAAGTAAATGAGAATTATCGCCTGCCTGAAGTTACCCAAATAATGCCCGTTTTAGTAAAAGAAGCGGTATCTTAATTTTCTTCCGCGGAGAAACAACTCACGGCTGCGTGAGAGACTAGCAGTCTAAGCAAGTGGACAATTTATTTCAATGATAAACTTTAGCAAGGTCAATCTCAAGTATCATGTTCTGTTTCATTTTTCGGACAAATGAAGTACTATGTCGAAGTTCTTTTCCATGTATATATTTTACTATTACTGGGTAAAGGAAATCATTAGTTATACCGAGGACTTCGTTATATAGAGGTTCATTATATCTATCTCCCATTATACAGTTGTTCCCTAAAATTTGTAGAAAAAACTAATTACAAGGCTGAAATCTGTGAGTTTTTGTGCTACTATAGAAAGCAACGAGGCCTTAAATGTTAAAGGAGCAGTATCGCGACTGATATATGGTGTTTTCTCAGCACGCTAGTTTCAGCTGTAGTTTTAAGCAGTATCTGATTGTTATCGTGCAGCAAAACAAAAAGATAAATAATTAAAAAATAAACGTTAAAATTCCTTGCAATGTTACATCTAATTTGATCGGGTCTAATTCAGCTTCCTTCCTTTCGGCATTGCAAAGACGTCTTAAATTAAGGTTCATAGTATACTTCGCAACGTAACATAAGATGAGAACTAATATATTTCGAGATTTGTGCGTGGAATGCAGCTGAACATGAAAGAGTTGCTTATTTAATCCCTTAATTGACTCTTTAAGTCTCAAAAGAAAAAGGAAAGAGATAAAAGACCGTGCAATTTATTGATGAAACAGTCGAATCTCTCAAGAAGGACCGCCCTTTGGTACCAGCAAGTGTCAGCCTTATAGTGTTCTCCCTTTTCTCTCTTTAGCCCTTTTACCCCTGATACAGGGGTACAAATTTCTTTTTGTAACATCCTACGAAATATATATAGTGCCGTGTCGTTGGCAGAGTGAGGTACTAACATAAAAAGATTGAAAAGCTGAGGTTTTGAGCACCAACCAATTTTTAGTGTGAAAATGGCGGGTGGTTAATATCTTAGGACTCTGAAACCAGGCACAAATCAGTTGAATGAAAGGATTTCATATTGATTCCGTTCCAACTTGAAAGGTAACTGATAGTTCTAAATTTTTGCGGCTTTCCTTGTTACCTTGATATAGTGAAAGACCACAGTGAATGAAACGACAACCCTAGAGGAAAACCGTTTCTTATCTTCGCACCTGTCAAAAAATATCTAAACTGGATTCGCAATGACCCACAGTGGAGAGGTCTTCTTGAAGCGTGAGCTAAGGTTAGCTCGTTTTAACTCCTAACCCTTTTATCTCGCCCAAATCATTCACTATCTTTAGCCGTAAGACGGGAGCTGATAGGTGAAGTATAAGTAAAAGAGAGAAAGGCTTTCCCAACCTCATTGCCAGGGTTTTCTTCTACCCGTCCCTACGGAGTGACGTAGGGACGGGTAGGAGAGAACCCTGGGAACGAGGTTAAGGCTTTCCTTTAGCGTTAATTTGCGACAAGCACCCTTAACAGAAGAAGAGCCGTGAAAGCGATCTGAGAGATACCAAGCCCTGGTAATCTGAAATCTGTAGACTTTCCTTTTGTAGCCTACCCTAAGAGCAGAGTGTATTTGTAGCCCAACCCCTCCTCTCATCGTTATTAGCCAATTAGAGCCATCATAAAACACAACTCGACGCAGCCCCAAAATGATTGTGTTTACGGTTGATGTAGAAGGTTGATGTAAGCAGCAGTCATCTCTACAATAACGAAAGTATATATACATTTTTTTTTTCAATGCTGAAAGACCCCAAACCGTACTGGAAAATACCGCAAAATACTGAGTTCAGCATTTTCCCATAGGCGATAATGCATCTTGTTTACTCTTTACTCCCCCCCCCCAACAAAAGGAAGTTACATAACCATTGTCTTCATTTTCTCTTGGGACGGCTATAATACCCATGTTACCTAGGAGAAATTGGAAACAATGGTTATGCACTATTTTGGGGGGTTAAAAAGATGCATTATGGTCTATGTGAAAATGGTGAATAGAATGTTTATCCGAGAGATTTACTGACCTGTAAAGGATAGCAGAAGATTCGTCAGTAATCTGGGAGAGATCACATTATCACATATGCGATCTTCCTAGTCTGTATAAAAGTCTCTGAACAATCAAATGGCCGGAAATGAAAAATTGTTTGGAAGGGATTGGTCACTTTTGTATGAAAAATATTTCTGTATTTGTACCCAAACTTTAGCTTACGGTAATAGAAAAGAGGACGGCAGGGTTCCTTCCCGGTTTGTTGAAACTCGATATTTTCAATCCGAGGAGCAGCTAGCCTCCCACGCGCGTCGAAGCCCCAAGGACATCTGCGGAGCAGCTTGTTATCATTCCCCCCAACAATATCTGCCAGGATCTCGTCAACTCCCAAAATTTTTGCCCAAGATAACGAACAACATGGGCGACTAACCGGTAAGACGAGAATTTCTCTTTGTGAACTTTCGCCCATGAAAATCCTGTCGTCGGACTGATTAATGGAGAGGACACAGTCTAGCGAGAAGCGCGAGAGACGTGCGTGGAGCGCGGGACGAAAGGGAGAGAGAAAACATTGTGCAGGGGAGAAAAAGTTAAAGCAGGCAGCAATTGAATTCATCTTGTGTGGTTGCGTTCTTATTTCACGTGATGAATGTGTTTCAGATAAGCCATTGATAGGAGAATTTGAAGCTGATCAATCTTAGGGCCGTTAAAGGCTTTACCGGATTAACAAATCAAATAGTCAAATTCCTTTCACTAAGCATGACTTCATGCTCACCCGATGTTTGCCGCCTTCTTTCGCGAGGAAGAGCAAGGAAGAAACACGATGTTGAAAAAGGAAAGTCTTATGAAAACAAGATGGATCAGTTTAGGTCTCTGGGAAATTGCTCACCTACCCCTCCCCTAAGCCAACATCGGGTAGGTGGATAGTTGCCCCCAAACCTAAATTCATCCTACATTAACCTAATGGATACTTTGGAGATTTTGCAGTTTGACAGGTGCTCCAACGCAAAAAACTCAGCAATGACTAGGTTGAGCAAACTGACTGTTCCCTCTCACTTAAACATTTCTTTGTTTCTTGAAATTTCTGTTCTACAGATCTTCTTGAAAGGGCAAGTCCATTCAATTATTTATCTAGAATAATAATGAATTTAATAGAAGCATGAGCTGCTGTTCTTACAATAAACAGTTATTAGATTCGACTTTTGTGATATCCAAACTAAAAAAGCTCAAGGTAAGTGTTAGCAGCCCAGCCGAAGGCCGAGGCTAATAACTGTTTCTGAGACCTTAATTATTTAGGATATCACAAAAACCGAATATCTAATAATTGTTTTATTATACATTGTTTTGAAGAAAACAACGACAAACACACCGTCGTAAGGAACCTGAATTGATACAATTGTTGTTGGTAATCATGCACTGCGCGCACAACCGACAGATTAGTCAGTTATCTGCTAGCAGAGAACTAACTAATCTGTAAGTTGCGCTGATTTCCAAAATTAGCTATAGGTCTTAGCCAATGAGAAGACGGATAATGAGTACAATGTAGAATAATGAAAAATAGGGCCCCCGACTTCCTTTACAAGTGTATTTCTTATAATTATGGTATGAACAACTCAAAATCTTTAAAACTACGAAAAAACGGCCTCAAAATGGCTTTAGAAGCAAACAGAAAGGACACAACACAAACACGAGGTTTAGTCATTTTTATTTCGAATATTTTTAGTACGTATTTTGTTTATTCCCAGAAATTCTCTTATAATATTCTAACATAATTATTGGCATATACGAGCACTTCTACAAGCATATTATGCTACTTTTGCGAGCACAAAAGTTCAAACTTGATCTCGTTCATAAAAGATTGAACTCTTTCTTTCAGTTGATAAAGTTTGGACATCTTCTGTCAGAATTTTTGTCCATTAGTATTTCTTGAAGGGATTTGCATCTTCTTCCATTAAACATTAACTTTCTGTGACCACAAGAGACTGGGAAATAGATAGGCTGAAAGGGAAAGAGCAAATAAGAATCTGTTCAGTACATAACAAGACCTTCACATTCGAAAATTGTTCGGCATAGCTAGGAAGAAAATTTATATCATAGAAGTATAGGGTCCTTTCCATAATGACAGGCTGGCCAGTTAGAGAGCAGTGGAAAAACCAAGGGAAAATGGAACGCCAATGTTAAAGACAGTTACTGACTGAAGAGAAAACTACGAAATTAAAGTCAAATTAAGGCACCTACCGTGGAGAATGAAGACGCTTCCAACCTTCTTTCTAGAACGAGGTGAAAATCAGCAAAGGCAGAAGCCGATCATTGTAATCGGCCCCAACGAAGGGAACACAGCGAAAACGCGCGGAAAAGACTGGAGGTGACTTCTAATACTCGATTTGCCGCTTTTACAAGTCTTTTTTAGATCTGAACGTCGGAGTCGTAATCACCACATTGTTGTATTTAAAAGGCGCAAAAATTTAACACAACGAACCAATAAAAGAATAAAACGTCTAAGTGTTTGTAATTTGGAATGCAACATATTGAATCCAATACAATAAGAAAAAAAGAAAAGAGTAGCCTTGAGGCACATACTCAGCCAAACGCGCCACGACTTCCTGCTAACCCGGGCTTTTAATTTAGATCTGGAAAAACTATGCATAGCTAGTGCAAAGGAATTCGCGACAGGAAAGAAGCGTTTTCGTTTGTATTACACGTTAACGGACAATACTTCGGCTAGTGAAAGAGCAAGCAAACAGAACCAGACACTTTTAGTAAAGTACAAACATTGTCATCAGGGTCGCTAGGCAGCGCGCGTGTCACAAACCTAAAGAGATAGGGCGACGTAAAGAGATATAGACGCAAAGCGTTTGTTTGCAATTTAATAATCGATTAGTTACACAGCTATTTTAAAACAGTTTTAAATGGATATTGGGTGATATCATAGTTTGTTCACCGCTTCAGTACAACTGCGAGAAAAAACAAATATGAATTCCCCTGTACTACCCCCTCAAAAACTAATCGTTCCTCAGCAATTTTCTCTCCAGCTAGGTTTCAATTTGTTTCCTGTACTGTGGGTGCATATTTTTGTAGTATACTCGTGTGCTACAAAACTCGTGGCATACGAGCCTTTCCGTAGCCTTTCTCCCCGTAGAAAATGTCATGTGTTTAAGGCAGCAGAAGCATTTAAAGCATTTACACTTTTACAAAATGTTACATTTTGGGAAGGTGTAAGCTTGCTTGAGCAAAGACTCCAGACGGTTCAATGGTCAGTCGTCCGGTAAGTTTCAAAGTCTTTATCTTTATCGCTCCTTTATATGAGAAGTTTTTAAAAGCTCTTGTTTGTTGTACTTTCATGAGGTGGGCAGATTTCAAGAACGGCCCTAAAATTTTCGTTTTGTGACTGCGATCAGATTTATATACTAATACGACAGTCGACGAGTGTTATAATTTAAAAAGGCGAAATCTATATGTAAGAGTTC